CCTCTCTCTCTCTCTCTTACACACACACACACACACACACACTCTCTCTCTCTCTCTCTCTCTCTCCCTCTCTCTCTCTCTCTTACACACACACACACACACACACACACACACACACACACTTTTAAAGGAATTAAGTAGCAACAGTTAAGGGGCAAATGTCAGAAGATTATCCATTCTGCACTCAAAAAATTATAATAGAAACAATTACTGTGTATAGAAGTGAAATATTAAAAAAAAGAAGTGAAATATTTTTAAATGGCTTTGAAACACTGGATGCAAATTACGTATCAGTGGCCTATAAATGTCTTCGCCATACTACCCATAGTTTCTCAGTTTCTGGTGTGCAGCTGTTACTGTGGGCCCTTGCCCTATGCTTCTGTGGGCCCTTGGAAAACACCTGCTGTGACAAAAGTGTGTCTGCAGCAGGCTGACCAGGCAGCTCCCACAGCTTAGGCTATCTAGGGTACCCAACCTCTCTGCATGAGGGAGACCTATTGGGTGCAAATTCAATTAGAGCAGTCCCACTGTATCTCACATAGTTGAGCAAAGCTAAACCAATGGATTAAGGTCTCTGGACCCCCTGGATGAGACACCTTGGACGGAATAATTCTATTACTCATGTTTCCTAGCCTGGCCTTGCTCAACACTTCAACCCCTTCCCCCCTTCCCCAGCACCGCATTCCTCCGATTATTCCAAGGCCTGCCTACACACATCCAGCTACTGACAGCAAGGCACATGTGAGAAAACCTCTCTTCTGTTTTGAAGAGCTGTTTCTATGGCTGCATTTCAAATGGTGCTGGTGGCTCTGGACAGAGTCCCTGTTGACTAGTATAGGACCGGTCACCACAGCAGCCCTTTACCCAGATTTTGCTTTGAGAGTTGTCTGTTCCTTACCACAGAAAGTGGTAAGGTTTTGGAGGTTTGAGGTTTGGAGAATGTTGACATTCCCACCCAGGATGTGTCACTATATCAACAATGGAAAACAAAACAAAAAAACAGTGCTCTGTGGAACTGTAAAATAGTAACTGGTGTTTATTTTTTTATTTTAGCATTTAAAACCAATTGTGTAGTGGGAAGAAGGTGTGGCTTGAAAAAGAATGAGAATAGAAAATACCAGAAAATGTCTCAATCATTATGTAGAAAGGAAGGAGGAACTGCCTCTCCCATCTTCCCTACCATTCCCAGGGTGAGATACGGAAGTGGTTTTCTACCCTCTGGGTAGAGTTGGTTGGTCCCAGCACTTAGTATCTGTGGCCTGTGGAAAAGCATGCTAGCAGAGCCCATCCCACTGACCACACACATTTCCTAGTCCCTCTCATACAACCGCCCATAGAGAGCTGCTGTCACCAAGCCAGAGGACAGTCCACTCTTCCTCAAGAAATAGTGGTCATTCTCCCACCCTAGCTGGTTAGGGGTATCCAGAGTCATCCCTGAGGTAAGAAATAAAGGAAAGATAAAGGAAGTGCTGAAGTTGCCCCACAGGTGAAAGTCAAATAGGCCCTGTGCCTCTGTGATCTCCTGGCCACAAGTGTCAAAGCCAAGACCCCCACACTTGACCAGGGCACAGACTTGAATGTAGTATGTGCCATGCACTGTGTGAAGTCCGTCAAAGACACCCAGGGCATACAGCTCTTTGGACAGAGTGGGCCTTTCATAGAGTAAGTGACAACAGAGGCTGTTAGAGCAGACCTGGAGATAGCCTTCCTTTCCCCAGACAGGGACCAAGGTGAAATTGTCATACATCATCTCTGAGTGGAAAGTAGGTGGTGCATTCATGTTCCACTTGGCAGCCTCATCGCAGTGCACTTCCTGGGCATCCTTCTCACAGTATGGGTCACCGGACACAATTTTTAAGAACTTACTATGGGATGGGTCCATTTCACTAGTTGCATTCTCTTTCCCAACAAGGCCCTGTGGGTTTGTGGCTACCTGAGCAATTATAAGGTGGCCGTCAGGATTGTCCATGTCATGGTACCAAAAGGACTGAAGAGGAGTGTGTATGCCACTGCCAGTCATCCCCAGAGTCGGGTGGTGGATGTTAGCTGCCAGAACACTGACACCAAAGGCAGTGGCCAATGCTTTCTGAATTTCAATGGCTGCCAAGAGTGGCAGCTGGTTCATCCAGGCCGTGGGGTACACAATGTGCTTCACCTCAGAGTCTCTGAGAAGACGGATGGTGGGGTCAAAGAACAGGATATCAAAGCAAGTGAACATGCCAAACTTGCCAGCAAAGGGGGTATCAAAGGTGATGAGGTCCACGTTAGCCGGGGTGTCAAAGGCTGCCTCAAAGTACAGGTTGTGCTTACGGTAGCGGTCAACAAGGGTTCCATTGTTGCTGAACACCACATTTGTATTAAACTGGTATCTCCCATCATGTGGGCACTCAGGGTCACTGCGAAGGCAAGGCTGCTTTGTTCCGAGATTGGCCACCAAGAACATCTGTCCCTTCATGGCCATACAACTCAGGCGCTGGAGGACCTGAGGTGGGTAATAAATAAATTTAAATCTGCCTTTTGTATCATATTTTCAGTAGAAAAGTTCCTGTATTGTGTCGATTATATATAAACAGCTATCATAAGTCAGTAAGAACAAACTTGTGAGCGCATACAGAGGATATGAACAGGTAAGTCACAGGACAAATATAAGAAGCACTTGCAACGATGCTTAAACTGAACAGTGACATCAAAATGTAAATTAAGTGAGAGAGTTTTCACCTTTGTTAGAATGGTGAAAGCTCAATGGAGTATTCCATCTCTCTCTCTCTCTCTCTCTGTATTTTGTTTTGTTTTGGTTTTGGTTTTGGTTTTTGGATACAGGGTTCCTCTGTGTAGCCCTGGCTGTCTTGGAACTCACTTTGTAGACCAGGCTGGCCTGGAACTCACAAAGATTTGCCTGCCTCTGCCTCCCGAGTGCTGAGATTAAAGGGATGCGCCACCAACACCCAGTGAGTATTCACCCTATGTTGACCCAAGGGCAGAAAAATAGTCTCATAAACTAGTACTGGAGATACATAAAGTGAGATAAACATCTTTTACTCTAAATTTAGTATTTGAAAAATGCATTAAACGTGTGTAGCCTTTGAGAAAATCAATTTCCAAGGGTTTTACAGGAAAATTTGAACATGCTTACAAAAATATATGTACAGGATATTCATTGAAACAGTACTTAAAATAGCAAGAGTTAAAAAAAAGAGCTTATCTCCAACTAGACAGGATGTCGGTGAAGGGGGTAGAAGAGGAAGCATGGCACACCATTGTTAGAAGCCTCCAGAAAAGGGAGTGATGAGGGTCAGGCATTGGTGGGGGTGAAACTTGAGAGGGTTTTGTTTAAACTTGTTTAATATATTTCAATTCATGTGTTTCTTATGCAATTCACCAATGAAAAGACACAGACCTGAATAATGTTCCCTGTCAGCCCAGGGCCTGGGGAGTTTGGGTTTGGCGGTTTGGATCCCAGACCTCCTTCAGACCTCAGGCAGCATGCTGTGGCTTTTGGCCATGGGCCTGGTTCTGCTCAGCCTGGTGGACTCCTCACCTACCTCTGTGTCGTTGAACCGAAAGGGCTCCAGACATGGGTTCCACTTGACCAGGCTGGGAGATGGCATGAAGTCCAAGAATGGGTAAATGGATGTTCTTGTGAAGTTAAACCCATGGATGCCATCTTCTGGGAACACTATAATCTGTACACCCTGTAAGGGGAATGATGGGAGAGTGCCATGAGGTAAGGAAGCACCATGTCCTTTGCTGCCAAATATCAGCAAGCTGACTGACTGGGGCTGTGAAGGCAATGGCTTGACTCTCAACTCGGATGGTAAATGGAAAGGCTTGCTCTCAGGCCATCAGCTGACTGCCCAAGTGCTGGACAGTGGTCCCACATGTGCCAGTGTCCTCTAAGAGTAACCATGATCATGTGGGGATGGAGGGGGCATGAGCAGCTCTGCTGAAGGCCCACTGAGCTCACCAAATGAACAGTTAGACTGCCGCCTTGCTGGTACAGTGGGAGCTGGGCCAGTTGTGAAACGCCTAAAATATTGGGCCTGTTCACAGATGGGACATCTCCAGTCCAGCAGTTCTCACCCATCATCTCATGTCTAAGTCAACTGGGGAGCTTTTGGACAAACACTGATGTGGAGGTCCATCCATAAAACATCTGACTGGAATGTGGGTGAGTCCTGGCTGCAGTATTGTTTAAAAAGATTCCTGAGTAATCATAGTGGGTCTCTGAGTGCCATGGATGAGCAGCAAATGTGCTGTACACAAAGCAGCTTTAAATCCCCCATAGGGGATTTAAAGAGTCCCTTTAGGGGCTCATGCTGTTCTGTGGGCCTCTCCCCACAATATGGCATCTACAGCACCCTAGGGAGATAGAAACAAACAGAGCTGGCCACAGCTCTCTTCCCACCTCATTCTCTCAGGGCTTTCCAGTTCTGTGGATTAAAATGTCAAGCCTAGAACATTGGCCCAATGTAGAGGGTGGAGGCGGCAGGCAGTGACAGTGTGCCATCTACAATAGCAGGCATGAGAGCACTTACTTCCTCAGGGAACTGCAACTTTATTTAGGTTTGTTTTCTCCCTTCTGGTTATAAAAGCTCCAAATTTAACCCATGAAGAATTTGGAAGACCAAAAAAAAATTTATATCCCCTAACAAAGATGCTTGTTAACATTCTGCTCGTCCTTTTCCCTCTACGTATCTGGGTATAGATGAGATGGTGCATTGGGTAGCATGTATGTGTGTCTTTCCCATAGAGAACATTCAGAAATGCCTTCTGTAATGGCCACTTCATATTAACATGACACCATTTCTCCTCCATTGATCACCTGAGTCCAACCTCTGTAATAAAAACAAACATGTGACAGTTATCTAAATGTGGTTGGTCACTATCCTGAGAGGTGTTTGTGTCTTTCTTTAGTTGACTCCCTGATGAATAAAGTGGATTTCACACATGAAATCACTGGGTTCAAAAGCAGGGAAAGTTTCATTTTTTTTTTCTTTTTTTTTTTTTTTTTGAGACAGGTTTCTCTGTGTAACCCTGAATGTCCTGGAACTCCCATCTGTAGACCAGGCTGTCCCCAAACTCACAGAGATCCTCCTGCCTCTGCCTACCAAGTGCTGGGATTAAGGGCGTGCACCACCAGCCCACAGACTTTACATTCTTAACATACATTGGAGAACCAGTGTGGCTCCCCATCAGCACAGAGGGATAACGACCTTCCCATTGCACACTCATCCGTGACTGTGCAAACAAACTGATCACAAAGTCAGAAACCAGCAATGAAGATGGCCTGCCCTTCCAGATTAACAGGCTCGATACAGGTTAGGTGATTTGATTATGTACAGAATGTGCCACTGTTGGCTTTTGTTATTTAGAAGATTACCCAGGGAGGTGGAGGCCAGAGGCTCTATAGCTCAAGCCTGGCCTAGCTAACAGTTCAGCCTGTTTCATCAAAATCAAAACGGAATAAGTTCTCACACTAAAGCCTGCATCTGTGACTTGTGGGACATTAGCCAGATTTTTTCCCTCCATTTTTTAATTTAAATTAGAAACAAGATTGTTTTACATGTCAATCCCAATTCCCTCTCCCTTCCCTCCTCCTTTGCCCCCCCCCCAACTACCACCCTACCTATCCCATCCGCTTTCTGCTCCCCAAGGGGATGAGGCCTTCTTTCATGGGGGATCTTCAGAGTCTGTCATATCCTTTGGGATAGGGCCTGGGCCCTTCCCTGTGTCTAGGCTGAGGGAGTATCCCTCTAAGTGGGATGGGCTCCCAAAGTCCATTCCTAGGCTAGGGATAAGTACTGACCTACTACAAGAGGCCCTGTAGATTTCTGAGGCCTCACTGACACCCACGTCCTTGGGGTCTGGATCAGTCCTATGCTGGTTTCCCAGCTATCAGTCTGGGGACCATGAGCTCCTCTCCTTATTCAGATCAGCTGTTTCTGTGGGTTTTACCAGCCTGGTCTTGACCCCTTTACTCATTACTCTTCCCTCTCTGCAACTGGATTCCAGTTCAGTTCAGTGTTTAGCTGTGGGTGTCTGCTTCTACTTCCATCATCTGTTCAACTATGTTCATAGTAGCAATATTTGTAATAGCCAGAACCTAGAAGCAACCTAGATGCCCCTCAACTGAAGAATGGATAGAGAAAATGTGGTACATTTACACAGTGGAGTACAACTCAACAGGGAAGAAAAAAAAACAAAACAATGGAATCTTGAAATTTGAAGGCAAATGGATGGAACCAGAAGAAACCATTCTGAGTGAGGTAACCCAGTCACAAAAAGACAAACATAGTATATACACTCTCATATATGGATTTTAGACATAGAGCAAAGGATTACCAGCCCACAACCCACACCACCAGAGAAGCTAGGAAACAAGGAGGACCCTAAGAGAGACATACATGGTCCCCTGGAGAAGGGGAAAGGGACAAGATCTCCTGAGCAAATTGGAAGCATGGGGGGGAGGGGAGAGGGAGCTAGGAGAATGTGAAGGGGAGAAGAGGAGGGGAGAGGAGAATATGAGGGAGCAGGAAGGTTGAGTCAGGGTAAGAATAGAGGAGAGCAAGATAAGAGATACCATAATAGAGGGAGCCATTATAGGTTTAAAGAGAAATCAGGCACTAGGGAAATGTCCAGAGATCTACAAGGATGGTACCACCTAACAATCTAAGCAACAGAGGAGAGGCTACCTTAAATGCCCTCCCCTGATAAAAAGATTGATGACTTATATGCCATCCTAGAGCCTTCATTAGCCAGTATTTTAGCTAACAACAAATTCTGCTGGCCATTGCTAAGCTGACTGGCAATATTCCATTTCTCAAATTCCCACCAGTATCTAATGAGTTAAGTAAAAACTTTTCATTTCTGTCTTTGCATGAGTCACCTTTGTTTTGTTTTGTTTGTTTGTTTGTTTCTTGGCTTTTCAAGATGGTTTCTCTGTGTAGCCCTGCCCTGACTGACCTGGAACTGGCTCTGTAGACCTGACTAGCCTCAGAACTTACAGAGATCTGCCTGCCTCTGCCTCTGCCTCTGCCTCTGCCTCTGCCTCTCTGCCTCTGCCTCTGCCTCTGCCTCTGGAGTGATGGGATTAATGACCTGCACCATCACCACTGGGCTATGAGTCACACTTTTAATTTTTTGAAAATTATACTAGGAGAGTTTTCCTTCAGAAAAAAAAACCAACAAAAAACAAAAAAAAAATCTGAAATGTGTCTTATTGAGCCTTGTCATTTCAGTTATGTCTACACGTCAACTGCATGGCTTTGGCTGAGTCCTGACAGGCCTAATGAGGTCAATAACTCCTGAGGAAAGAAGATCACCAACCCTTGGGACTGCACAGTCTAAATTATCTTCAAAGTAGACTTATCTTCCCTCGTTGTCAGGGGAGCCTGTGAGGAGCTCCTGTCTCCAGTGAGTCTGATGTAAAACTCAAAAACACAGCAAAGTAGCTGAGGCAACAGACAGCACAAAAGCCATCCTGTAAGCAGCTGGCATGACTCACGGATCCATATATGGGAGCTCCAAGTAGAGGATTCGGTAGTCGCCACGGACAGATGGAGAAGCCAGAAGAGGTGAACCTGCAGGTGCTGTGGTGGCACTGTGCCATTAAATGCCTCCACCACAGGACTTGCCCTTGTCTGGGTCATTGCTGGTAAGAGGCCTGATGGTACAGCTGGGATTTATTTTACACTGACTTCAGCAGAGACATAAATGGGATAAGTATCAAATGCATGAATGCTATGTGGCTGTCAGTAAAAATCCCTAAATAGCCCAACAGGCTGGAGTAGTGAGCAGCTCTGATGGGAAGGCTTGCTCAGGTTGTCAGCTGACTGCCCAAGTGTGGTGGGGCAGCCCTTGGGCAGTGTGTGTAAAGGAACAGGAATCTTGAGTGCCTTGGAAACTGTGATGCTATTGCCAGAAGTCTACTGGGAACAGCATCTGGAACAAGAACGCTGAGAGAAGCCTGCCACCCACCCTGTCACCCAGCACTGGGAATGTTCACAGTTCTTTCTAAGTAGAAGCCTAAAGAGGACTGGAAGCTCAATCTTTTCCTGTGGGACTAGGGCAGCAAGACTGTCCCCAGGCTTGCAGAAGATGGAATTAATTCAGCTGCTTTTTCTAAGCTCAAGACCAGAACTGTGGTTAAAACTGCCCCAGAAATTGCACAATGGAACACGTGGACCTGAAAAATAGTGTGTTCTGAGCTACTGAGGGTAACCCACAAGCCAGGTGCCAGGCTGAAACAAGAGAGGAGTGCCATCTATGAGGAGTGCAGGACCATACACACTAACTAGCCCATGATTTTAAAATGCACCAAAAAGTGGTAGCTGTGTCCTTCCAGGTCATCAGGTGTGGGCATGAGGGTGATGGGATCTACTGGCATAGCCAGCTCTACACCAGGAGCAGAGGCATGGCCAAGGTTTACACCAGCAGCAGAGGCAGAGGTTTGGCCCATTTGCCATTTGGCACATTTGGCCTTCCTCAAGCAGTGGACACTTACAAGTTCCCATAAGCTTTGAATGCCTTTTGGAGCATGGAGTTTACTGTGCTCAATGGTTTCGAGGTTTTGGGTTTTTTGTTTTGTTTTGTTTTCCTAAATATCACAATCCCCCGGGGGCGGGCTGTGCAAATTCTCACTGCCTAAACTGGACCAGTTAGTTACAGCACCAGACTCAAAACCCAGCTCTTGTTTACAATTCACCTTCAAATTCCAGGCAAAGGCACATGAATCAGCGACCTAGGCAGGGCTTCTTCAACTTGGGGAAAACACTCCTTGGGGACGACCTTGCTGGTTCTGACTCTGGAGGTCAGGGGTGGGGCCTGATTTAACGAGCTGCCATGTGCGGTTGGTTGGTCCACTGACTAACTTCGGAGTAGCAAGATGCCAGTCAGCTGACCCGTCAACTCAGATCTGCAAGCTGACCCGATTTCTCAGGGGGACCTTGAGAGCCTGGGGTTTCTCCTGGTTCAGAGCAGCTGGCTCTGCGACAGGACGACAAAGCTGCTCTTGCCTTCTGGGCTGCAGCCATCACTTGCTGTTCATAGACGTCGAGGTTCTGCTTCATGAGCTCCAGGGCCTTCTGGCGGCTACTGAGCTCCAGAGGGTTTGGGCTCAGGACCGACCGGTGCTCGTACACGGCAGCCACGTAGTACTCTGCATCACGGTGCTCTGGGGAGCCCGAGCCAACGCCCAGCGCAAGCGCAGAACAGCCGAGGAGGAGGAAGAGAGCAGGCGCAGTGCAGGCTCCAGACATAATGCAGACCATAAATCTGGAATGAACCGGCAAGGGGAGAACAGCTGAATAAGGAAGGCTGCCAAAGACTGAACTTTCGCAGCTGTGATTTATTAATCCTGGCAATTACACTCGCCGCAGCGATGCTGCGGCTCAAAGAGTTGTTTCATGTTCCTAATGAAAGCCCGTGTGTTTCTCTCCAAACACGTAGGGCTGCATTTCAAACGGCTCGCTGTGTTAATAGACTGGTTTCAGAACATTTCCAAAACAGACTTAGTGTCTGCCTGTTTTCTTACCCGGTGTGCAGGAAGCCTGCAGGGAGCCACTGCCTTGCTAGCCAGGCACCTACACTGTCCACTGCAGGAACTGTGTGGAATTTTTGACACAATTTCAGTGATATATTTGACGCTACGTGGGAGGTTTTTTTTTGTTTTTGTTTTTGTTTTTCTCAGCTCTACAGGTCAGCCCTCTAGGACAGCAGTAATGGTCCTGAGGCTCCTGGAAGCAGAGCAGCTTCCTAGCTGACATTCTTCAGTCTATTTGGGGGCCATCTGGAATCCTAGCATCTGCTGTATCACCCGAAGGGCAGCCAGGAAGAATTCTCCCAGTCAGAGCCCGGCAAGACTTTCCCCTTGAAGCTGAGTGAGCCTTGCCAGCCACTGCTTCCTCCACCCTCGTCTATGCCATTCCAAATCACTTGCTTAAAAACATACCTATTGGGAAATAAAATCTTTCTTGCAGTGCAGTGATAACATGGAATTTTCTAGGAAATAAATTGGAATTTTGTATCGAGTAGACTCTATTTACCATAAGAAAAGAGACACAAGAAGTGAATGACATTTCTGTATCTCTCCCTGACATAGAAACGGTTACTCCCCATAACTGCGTGTGTTTTTCAGTGAATGGCCCAATTCTGCCTTGAGAAGACGCTATGGCCTCCTGGCTAAGCCCCTCCCCTAGCACAAAAATTTATCAGGCAGTGTAACACAGCCAAGTGGCTGCCCTGTGGAGACAGACAGCGGCTGACAACTGCCCAAGAAGAATTCTGGTTCGATACCAAGGTAACAGTGACAAATCAAGGAACCCCACTGCTGTTCTTTAAGAAGAAAACAGCACCCCATCCAAAAAGACATCTGTCCAAACCTCAACTGGGGACATTTATGTTTATATTCTCAAACAAACTCCCTGGGCTACTAGTTTTCTTTTTATTGTTTGGCTGAAAGTTCCAGAAACAAGCCGTAATTATTTCAGCCACAAAATAGACGGAGGAGGGATCCCTTCAACATCAAATGCTCCTCAGGGAGAAGCCGCCTCCCTCCCACCCGCATCCCATCTCAAACCACCATTTGTTTCCTCGGGGAATAAATGTACCATACAAAGCCCAGGGTTTGCTGCTGCTCATCTGGACACTGTAAGCAATGTTCTATGGCAAGAACAAGGGGCCTTTGAGTGAGCAGTCATGAGTTTTGGAGTGGAAACAAAAGTATAATTGATAAGCTTTCTTATTGGAACTTTGTCTCCATAGACGCCAAGGAATAATTTTACATGCCTCAAAAAATCTACTTTGCATTTCATTTTGAAAGGATGATAATGGGGCAGCTTGGATGAGGTCACAGTCATAGTGACAATACTTTTTTAAAGTCCAAGCGATGGCCCTCGTGAAGAGGTGTGGAAACAGGCTGAGGCAGAGACACATGAGGAAGGCCTTGGTTGTGGCAAGTCAGGAACTCCCAGGCTAGGAAGGGCCTTCATAGTTTCTGTATAGCAGATGTGGGCACCCAGGACTCTCTGTACATTAGGGGAACTCACATATGGCAGCCTAGGGCTCTGTCACTGAACCTTAACCCCAGCCCCGAGATTCAGAACTTCTAACTCTAATCCAGAATGTCTAACTGTAATCCAGCAAAACAAGGAAACCACAGAACCAGTAGGATACCACATTCCTTTCTATTTTCAGGAAAAAAACTGTATTCTTTGCAGAAGTCCAGTAGGAAAGCCTGAAGTGGCAATCATTCCTGCGTGTGAACAAAGGTAGAGCAATAATTAGAAGCTATGCACATTTAACCAGGTATTCATGCTTCAAAGATTCAGGCTTAATGAGGTAGGAGAGAATGAGTAATTACAATAAAAATAGCTGCAAGGGTTTGCCCTTGCCAAGGCGGTGAAGCAGGAGACATTGTCACTAATGTCGTGAAGCTGGCTTTCTCTCTGCACTTGGCATCACATGCAGTCTCAGAAGAACCTAAGAAGGCTGAGCAAGGACATGGAGGGCTCGAGGCAGCAGAAGGGATGCTCAGTTTGAAGTGACAGGACTGGGGACTTGGGATGTCACTCAGCTGCACAAACCAGACATGGTGGTGTATGCCTGTAATCCCAACACCGGAGAGGTGGAAGCAGAAGAATCGTTAGTGTAAGGTCGTGGACCAGGGGAGAGAGCCTGGTGAGTAGAGTGGATCTAAATGCAGATCCCCAGCAGCCACGCACAGCTGGGCATGGTGGCGTACCTGTGGCCCCAGCACTTCGAGGAGTGGGAGATAGCTTGATCCTGGGACTCACCAGTTGGCCAGTCTAGCCACTGAACCTCAGTTCAATGAGAAGCTCCCTCTCAAAAAATAGAAAAAGTAGAGAATGCTAGAGGAGGTCTGCTGGCGTTCACCTCTGGCCACCGATGCACACATATGGGCACATGCATCACATATACCACACCACAAATCAAAAGGACATTCCAGGTCATCCTTACTTACACAGGGAATTCAAGGCCAGCTTGTGCTAAGGGAGGAGAGAGAGGACTGGAGTGGCCAGCACTCCCAGATACGTGTAGATGAGGCAGTTGCTAGGTGCTGGCTCGTGACCACATGCACAGGTATACTGGGACCCAGGGCTCCCTGGAACAAGGGACTCTGAAGCCGATGAGTTCTTGGAAACCCAACCAGTAATCCATCTTTGGAGATGGTCAGGAATGTGACCCTAAATAAAACAACTACTAGAAGAAAGTGTTTTGACCCAACATAATGGTAACATAGTCCTTTTGCTGAAGGACACAGAGGACTGAACTGTAACAGGGCCTGGACCAATACACAGTCGTAGGGACAATGTAACTCTGTGGGTATGCCCCTCTCTGAGACAGGGCCTGAGCTCTGAGGTACCCCTCTTCTAAGAAGATACTCAGATCAGACACCCATGTATTAGCACATGTCTGGAATGCAGCAATGAGCAAACAGGGCCTCCTGGAGCTCATCACCGAATGCACAGGAGGCTGGACATAATGAGACCAATCTGTACGTGTCAAATGGCAATGTGCACGAAGGAGAAGCAGGCAGTGAGCACGGGCACTGTGTGTGACCTTGTGGAGAAGCAAACAGGGAGATGGTGATTCTGAGCAAAGACCTGACCTCAGGCAGCTGTGAGAAGGCAGAGCTTCCAAGCAGAGGGCCTGAGGCAGCAGCATGCCCTCCATTCAAGAGATGGCAAGAGGAGCTGTATGGCTGGAGCCCAGGAAGCAGGTGGGATGGGGTGGCCAGCGGAATTACAGGAAGAAGAGCAGTGTCTATTCACTGGGCTGAAGGCCTCCAGGCATATCACTTGCCCTCCACCCACATCCCACTAGAGCTGTTAAGCAGAATTGTGACCTGGTTATCATTTTCATTTGGAAATTAAGCATGACATAAGGAGATGTCATTGTGTGTCAAGTTGACAAAGGGTGGACTTGTTATGACTAATCTTGGTTGTCAACTTGACTACATCTGGAATCAACTAAAACCCAAACTGCTAGACACTCCTTCCAGGGATATTTTTAAAACAGATTACTCGAAGCAGGAAGATCTATCTATGTCTGGGCCCCACCTTCTTGTGGCAGGTCACATAAATGGACACAGAGGAAGGAAACGTTGCCTTTTGCCTGCTTGCCTTCAGTCTACCTGGCCAGTTCATATATCCTGTGGCTGCTGTTGTTAAATCTGACTTCTTCAGGATTCCACTGTAGACTGAAAACCAGCAGCTCTCCAGGAATCCTCCCAGACCCCAGTCTCAGATTGGGACTGCAGAGACAACCAGCCTTATGGATGGACAATTAACTGATTCTTGGTTTTTCTGTTGTAACACAGCCATTGCTGGGCTACCTGCAAGATAGCCTGCAAGCCAGATGGAAAGGTCAAGTGTAAATAAACACAGTGTGACAAGCAGTGGTGATGTGAGAATTCACAGCTGAACATACAGGAACAGTAAGGAAAGGATCAGGTCCTCTAAAGGTCTAAGCTGTGACGTTGATTTTCCTTTAAAAGAAAATGACAGGCAGAAACGACTGCACTGTACCTTGGACAGGAGCCAAGCTCTGCTTTACTAACTAAACAACTTAAACAAAAAGAGAAATCCAATGACCATGACATGTTAACCTAAATTTTGTCTTTCTTTCTCTCAGATGGGGAAAATACCTTCACAATTTCAACCGAGTAAAACCTCCTGGACTAAGGATGTGTGGCTCTGTGATACAGCATTTGGCCAGTTTGTGCAAGGCCCTAGGTCCAGGCCCACTACTGTAAGCATCTTCCTGAAGTGCAAAAGGGTTTCTGTAAGCAGGTTTTTGTTGTTGTTGTTTGTTCGCTGCATATGAATTAAAATCCTGGAGTCTTTGTGTGTACTGCTGTAGTGGGGGGAAAAAGCCAGCTGACTGATTTTACAGGTGTGACTGCCACCTGGTGGCCCACCCGAGAATCACTACCACCCGTGGGTATTTGACAGGCAGTAACCTCTGGCCACCTTCCCATCTCCTTTCACTTCTAATAGCTCACCTATCTACTTCATAATGAAAAAAGAAAACTTAGTACATCTGATTTTTCTAGGATTTGGTCTGACTAAACCAGGAGTCAGAAGTAGCGCCTTTCTCAGGTGCTTTTCTCATAAGGCTGATAGGATCTGGGCAGATTCCCAAGTGTTTTCATGAGCACCAAGGGAATGGTGCTATGAAACTATAATCCCAACTATTCAGGAGGCTGAGGCAAGAGGATGACCTAGTTCAAAACCAGTCTGGGTAATATATTG